AGTTATAATATGTACTAACAGACTAAGACTTACTAGACAAGGGTTTAGACTCTCTTACATTTGTATTAGATTCTGAATCACTCTTAGAAAGAAGTCTTAGTAGACCTAATTAGTAAGCTACCTGAGTCTTAGGGTTATAACACTATTTATATAATTGTCAACCAATTCTCTAAGTAAGTCTATACAGTTTCAACCTGAACAGAACTCACTTCTGAAGGTATAGTATACATTTATCAGAATTATGTTTTCTAGTTATACAGACCCTCTTAGAAGCTTATTCACAATTACAGACTGTAATTTAAGTCAAAATTTATACAGAACTTGTATACACTTCTCAGAATTCAAGGGAACCTTTCTACTACATATTACTTACAGATTAATAAACAAACTGAGTAAGTCAATCAGAAGATCAAGCTCTATCTCCAAATGTTCATTAATTATTAGTAGTTAGATTAGTCTGAATAGTTAGCTCTAACTGAATTTGTGTATAATAACTAGTAACACTCTGTAACAGGACAGTTTCTGTTCTTTCTCAACTATAAGAGACACTTGTATTAGAGGACAGTTCTAAACTAGAACAGTAGTTCTGAGTCTGTAACAGACTTTGTAGAACAGATGTGTAAGACTAGGGAGGACACACAAGCTCTTTTAAAAAAGACAGTATAGGTTATAAAGTAGAACTATGATTAGAAGAGGTCTGTAGCTAAGAATTACTAGTCTAGTAACAAAGTTATACTAGAAGCTACTAATCTGACTATAGATTGCTTAATAAAGAAGTTGGACAACAAGTGCTTCAAACCCTTTGTTATTAAAAAGAAGGTTAGTGTCTTTACTTATAAACTCTAACTTCTAACAACCTGAAAGTACATACACTCAGTTTTCAACAAGGTTCTATTGTCTTAATACTATAATCTAGGTTTTCCTTCACAACAAAGACTCTTACTACCTCTACCAGAACTTATTAGTTCTGAACCAGAATATAAAGTAGAGTAGATAGTAGATATTAAGCTAGTATATAGAAAGCTCAAGTTTCTTATTTACTAGAAAGAGTACCTAGTTGAAGAACACACTTGAGAACCTGCTAAGAATCTCACTCATACTGTTAAGACAATCTGAGACTTTTATTAACTTCATCTAAGTACTCTACACTAACTCTACCTTACAGATTTCCAAACCCTACTGTTCTAACTTATGTCTGAGCTACTAACCAAGTCTAATGTTTACTAATCAGAATAATTGGTTTTAGAGAGAGGGTAATGTTATGATTCTCTACTCTTACACCTTTAGTTCTACAGGTTCTATACTCTTTTATACTAGAACTCAGAACTTCTGTCTCTTAGAAGTACTGTCTAAGGACTATATACAGACTGACTCTCTCTATAACTCTTACTACTACCCCTTCTTACTTTATTATTCTATTCCTTTGTCTACCCCTTCATTCTTTGTTCATTCTATAGTCTTTTACCCTTTGTCTATCCCTTCATTCTTTGTACCTTTATCTTTTACCTTTCTTTCTTTTATTCTTTATAGCTTATCATTCTTAGTAGTTACTATTCTCTAAGTACTCTTATGTAGTTTAGTATATATAAGTGTACAAGATCAGACTGGTTCTATAGTCTTAATCTTGTCTACTCTAGATAGTTCTGTACTCTTAGACTTACTCTATATACTCTACTCTTATCTTACTCTCTCTTTCTGTCTGTTTTACAAGTTCTGACTATGTTCTAGTACTTGTGTTCTACATTTCTGTTGTGTAGGATAGTTGTAGCCTGAGTCCCCTTACTAAGCCTTTAAGTCCCCTCTACATTGTTACTAACACATGACTGTCTAGTAGAGATGTGGTAGAGAAAAGCTCTGTCAGACCCCCCCCTCTTCTGGGAAGAAACTGTAGGAGAAAGTTGATTTTTATATTGAAAAAAAGTTATAACTGAATTGTATTAGTATGACTTGTACCTAGTACCTACAAAACAAGAGGCAACAAATTGTATAATAACTCTTAAATGTATAATTGAATTCTCTCAGTTATCTTTGTATATGTCAAACTTTTTAGAAGACAACTTTATATTTATAAAGATTAGTACTGTAAGTAATATCTAGAGAAATAGATTTTTTTCATCTTTGTAACAGACAATTCCTTACATTATTATAACACAATCACTAAAGATTCACAATTACTTACACAGATTATCTAATTGTTTTGAACTGGATAACAGCTTCTTCCTTACCCTTAATAAGGTACAGATAGTAGTAGTATGTTTAGCAAATGTATTTGAATCATACTAAGCTCTAGGTAAAACACATTCTATTCTAAATCCACTTATTAAATTATAGCTTACTATTATGTCTTTTCTGATCATTGTGTCAAGTACTAGCCTGTCACTTAACACTATTAACAATACTCTCTCTTTAACAGTTAGGAAGCTAGCAACCTTTGGAAAATTTACTAAGACTAGTGTATTTGATAACAAAGCTTAGTAAGAAAATTATATTCATTAGTATATACTTTCTGACTTACTAAATAGTGAGTCTGGGAAGGAATTTCTTAATAGAGTATGGAACTATGTATATAGGAGGTATGTTATTATATACTTGTTTAATATTTATCTACATCTTACTCAACCCTTCTTCAGACATTACTTTAATACATTATTGTTGACAGAGCTTTTAAGAACATTGTTTTAGACACTCTACAGAACACTAAACAGTGTTGTCACTACTATCTCAGGTTATGTTCCTACCTATTTAACACACTGTGTTTTATGTCTCATTTACTAGTATAGTATAATGTATCTAGTATATAAGAGTGTATATATATACACATTTAATCAAGTACTATTTTAAACTCCCTATCCTAACAGGTTATGAGCCTTACCAGCTTGTGAATAGTACTATTGACACAAACAATACTACAAACACAACCTCTACCTCAGACATCTACCCCCCCTTCTAGTACTAGTACTCTACCTACAAACACAATGCCTCTAATAATAACACAATCTATGTTAATGTTTGAGTCTCTAAAGATTGATGACAATCAACTTACTACATTCTTTAAAGACACAGAGAAGCTTATAGGTACAAAGAACTATAAAATATAGTAACTACACATTACAAATGCACTAACAGTAATACTGCTCAGTAACTATCTTACAAATGATCCCCCTAGTACAGATGCAGACAGTATATACACAGGGAAACTATTGTATCATTTTATAATAAAGATAATATCAGATACAGTATATGCTAACATTACAATGCACAAAACAATGAAAGACCTTATACAGGCACTAGCTGATTAATACAATGTACAAACCACATTGACTCACACAGTCAATATATTAGTACTGTTTACAGCTAGAGGACATGTTTCACAGTTTGACAAGACACTAGATCAAATAGAGCAAGTCTATACATAACTGGTAGCTCACAGCAAAATACTAGATAATAATACTTATGTCTTAGTAATAAATCTCACTACTCTAAGAGAGTACAAGTGGGTTGTAACAATGATCAATAGGCAGAACACACATTACAATAGCCTACCCACAGTTACTACAGCTTAGTATCAGATGTTCACACCAGTAAAATTAATTCATGAATTATACAACACATTTACTGAGTAGCAAATGCAGAACCACTAGAATAAACATAGTACACTAAATAATAATAATAAAACAACAAATAATCATCCTCCATCCCTAGGGCCTACACAAGGTCAAACAAGAGGACAAGGATGTGGCAGAGGCAATGTAAAGTCTTACAAAACAACAAAATGTTATAATTGTAACAAATATGAACATATGTCCAAAGAGTGCCACAGTCTAGTAATAGACACTACAAAGGAAGCACAAAAAAAGCAAACAACAACAATGACAAATGCATCCACATCATAACAAATTATGGCTCAAACAATGAGTGCTACACTTACAGACCCAGCAGTATTTATTAACAAAGTAAACAAAATGCTAACACCAGACACTGTAACAATGAACAAATGCAAGAAATACAAGGGGAATTCATGCTTGACAAATTCCTTAACAACTACAATACAAACATATGCATTAATGCATTTAATCATGAAACAATGAAATTAACACATTGTATTAACATACTTGATTCAGGTGCAAACATACATGCTACACCTTACCAATTTCAATTAACAAACATACAAAATACAAACCTATTACACATTACAATTGTAAACAAAACAATAATCATACTCATTATCTTAGCATGTACGAATTCGTGGAAAACATTCTTGCTGAACGCATAAGTATAACCGGAAGTTTGTGGGCTGGCTATATTAAAACCTGGACTGGAATACAGTAAGGATACCCTCCCAATGGTACGTACCGGAAAATCTCCCAACGGGTGCATTTTAGTGATGTGTATCGTAGGCGGTGGAGGTGGACTCGGATATGCGAGAAATATCAGTGAGTACTTTGTTGTCGTTGTCAACACACCTGAACATATGTCGACGAATGTTTAGCGTTCAGAGACTTCGAAGTGAGAAACTTGACACAAGAAGCAGCTTATATTACACAGTGCACGTCATTCATTGGGGCAACCGGCGGATGCGATACCTCGCTCTTCCAGATCTCCGACGTTACCTGGGAGAACATCCGCGGAACAGTGGACACAGAATTCCTTGCGAGCTTTCAATGCAGTGGATCCGCACCATGCACTGCACTTCGCGTGGTTGGGTTTGATGGGATTCAAACAAATGGATCGAAGAGAGAGGTACAGTGCAGCAATGTTGTTAATCCAGTAAGGTTCCAATGTACGACCTGAATAGCATCATTGGCAATTGGAGAGACATGTACGGTGATTTGCTAGCACCGGTCATTTATTGGTAGCAATGGTTTTACACGACGAAGAAAGAAACGAAGTTCATATTGGGAAGTCCCATATTAATAAGCACGTGGCTATGTTTCGCAAACAGCAGCAAATTGCTCTCTTTCTTTCTACACCTCCGAAATCCTTCTCTGAACAACAGATATGTCTGACTCAACTATTCGAGCACCACTGCGAATTAACGTATCGGCGGCCGCTCCAGCTTCTGATAGACAAGCGAGGAAGAATATCGAGGCGTTCTTGCTGAATTACCAGTCAAGACCTGGTGGCGCAGACTCTGCTATTCTGACTAGACTTGAGAAGTTGAGTGCTTCGTTGCGAGCCGATAAGGAAGGAAGAACGGAGACGAACGGTTCATTGTGATGACGCTTTAGATTTATTAGAAGGTGCGTGTCTACATAAGTTCATGATAAATGCTCGTCTAATCGTTTTTTTTGTGAAGCTGTCTAGAAGCTCCATGGTCAGCAACCTCGTGAGTTGTACATTTCGAAAGGAATCTATTATCTGATGCACCTGTTAAACTAGAGCGCCTTTCTAGTCAGCTCGTGTGCATGCAAGCATTCATTTATCATGCTAGATTTGTAACACATCTGCGACACCGACGAAAAGGAATGGATCAGCGACAGGCGTAGAGTTTCACTATGAGCTTTAACGGCATAGGCGTTATTCATGCAATTCGTCCGATAGTAATCGCAATTGGCAGCATCAAATCGGATGACAGATGGCCAGTGGGTAGGGTATTGCGAGATTGTGAAATTCCAGCTATTGGAGATACTTACATTAATATCTTCGCCCAGTATGACGTGCAAAATGTTCCTAGGTCCGCTGCCGTTAACCCCTCACGTTTCTTTTTCCTTTACCGTCACTCATGATCTCCGCATGTGTACCGGCTCTGAGCAATTCATCCGTTTGATTTACCACATTTACGTTCTTACAGGTCTTCGTACGCTTGAAATTAAGTAACTTCGATTTCCTGCGTCTTTCGTGTCTATTTTCGTCCCTGTGCAGGATGTTTGGTTCCGCATCCAAATGCATAAGCATGATTATGCTCTCTTGTGTTTGATTAATTATAGAATAAGATCTACTGGAGATATCGAGCTTGGGCAAGCAAGGCCTACCTTCATATAGCTTCCCTCGGGGAAAACCACTACAAATTTGATATTTTGCGTTTAACGATACGCAAGTTGTCTCAGAAGCGCGCGCATCCTGAGGGGAAAAAACATTCGATTTGCCATATAAAGCATAGCTGATCTTTTTTGTTCTTGACTGCCATGTCTTCCCGCTTGTGGTGGCCCCGGATAAGGAGGTCATGATCAGCTTTCTGTTTTTGTTTCTCTGCATTTTTAACACAAGCCTATGTTGGCGACATCTTCTGGTACATTCTAAGCGAGGACAAAAACCACGCGCCATGCGGATGGCCAATTGTGTACTTTTAAACTTTCTGCCCAGAAGCTCCAGCGCTTGGCCTTTCTTGGCTTCGTCATCCTCCTATGACCAGGTCTTCGACATCGAGAATACACCAGCGCAGCTTCGCTTCGCGGGCTTTCACACGTATGTTTTCTGCGATACAGCGCTTGCGACACATGTGTCCCAGCTCGATCTGGCCGATATCTGCACAGAACAAACCATTATACGGCATGTGGGTAATTGGCACCGCAAAGTTGGCTCCAACGCTCTTCTGAAACGTTCTGAGAATAGCACATGTGCAGCGTCTCCCCAGCGACGATAATAGCCCAACCTGTCCAAAGATCAATTTTTACAATACGCAGGTAAAGTCACCGGCACCGGTGTGATCAATCTATTGAGACGTATCTTCCCGCCATATAAAGGATGCAACACAACGCAGCATGTCTTATTCAACCTTTACTCTTGTCCATTCTCTGCACATGGAGCTATCCATCTCACTAATCGCTGCGGTCACTACTCTTCTTCTTCTTGTATGGCGTGTCGCCCGTTTCTTTGTTTCTCGAGGCTCTCTGTCTCATATAGCTGGACCCCCTCGTGCGTCATGGTGGAAAGGTAGTACCGTAATTACCAGAAGTATCAAACGCAACTTCAGATACTGACCGTCCATGCTAGGGAATTTTGCAAAGTACTTCAGCCCTGAGGGGTGGGCGTTTCACGAAGACTTATATAGAAGTTATGGGGGTGTCGCACGTCTTGACATGTTGTTTGGGGTGAGCGTGTTTCACCTCTAACAGGGACTGCGTCTGCTGAGAGCGCCTGATAGGATCAACACCTTTATGTATCTGATCCGCTCGCACTGTATCATATCTGTATCAAGGACCAAGCTGTGTACGAAGAAACGGAGAGGTTCCTAATGTAGGCTTTGGAGTCTTGGTTTCTACTTTTAAACTGATATCCTGGTAGAACGTACCGGTTAATTTTTGGATCGAGTCTCCTATCCACCCTCGGTAAATATTCCTCCCTATCTTAACGAACGTGAGGTCCTAATGATTCATACACTCTGTTATTACTCGCTGTTTGTTAGGCGATGAACACCGAAGACAACGCAAGTTGTTGAACCCAGTTTTCTCACTCCAGCATTTACGCGAGCTCCTTCCAGTATTTTATCCCATTGCTCACAAGGTATGTTTGCCTATTCCTGAATAAATGTACTCCCCGCCTGAAGCTATCTGCTAGCTCTGCGCGGCTCTTGAACATGAAGTTTCGAAGGGTGGGCCGTACATCGATGTCATGAACTGGTCTTCTCGGGCTGCTCTCGAAGCGGTTGGACAAGGCGGTCTTGGTTATTCCTTTGGTGCCCTGGATGAACGACACACCAACGCATATAGTGAGGCTCTGAAAGCATTCCAGTAATTGCGTCTTATTGCCGGTCGAAGCTACTTCTCATACGTTCAAATTAGGCCGTTGCTCTTCGACCTTGATCTGTTATTACGATTTCTGCCTCAGGCGGTAAGGTTTGGTTCTCCGTCGCTTAGAAGATGGCTTGTGGGGAAAGTTCCATTGAAGCCTGTACAAGATCTTATATCAATCATCGATACGATCGAGCAGCAGTCAAAGGGAATCCTCATGCGGAAGCAAAGGGCACTGCAAAACGAGAAGGTGCATACACGAGTTAGCGACGGGAAAGACATAATGAGCATTCTACGTCAGTACATTTAAGTTTTATATTGCAATCTTTTGACCTAGAAACCGTCTTTAGTGAGGGCCCATACGAACGCGAGAGGGACTACGCAATTACCGGAACCGGAGCTTTTGGCGCATATGAGGTCGGGCTTCATTCATGAAATCTTACGTTACATGCAATCTTATCACTCACTGAAACTCCTCAGTACACTGATAGTGGCGGGTCATGACACAACTGCAAGCGCTGTTAGCCGCATTCTCCATATTCTATCGCAGAATCAGGAAGCGCAATCAAAGCTCCGGGATGAGGTGACAGCAGCACGCAGAGAGCATGGAGACCTCGATTACGATCAACTCATGGAGCTTCCGTACCTTGATGCCGTTGTTCGTGAGACTATGCGTGTTTATCCGCCTGTCCCACAGCTCGATCGGGTGTGAGCATTGCATTTTTATTTCACATTATGATTACCTGTTACTAATGCCACGAAATTAACAGGACAAGAAAAGATACTGTACTTCCTTTGCTTTGGCCCATCGTGACGACAGACGGAAAGGAAGTCAAGGAGATACATATAAAGAAGGACACGCATATCTATATCTCGATTCTCGGCGCAAACCGCAGCAAGGTAATTTGGGGCGAGGATGCTGATGAGTGGAAGCCGGAACGCTGGTTGAAGCCGTTGCCTAAGAGTGTCTATGACGCAAGCTTGCCAGGCGTGTATTCGCAAATGTATGTGAGCTGTTTATACTGAGCGGCAACTGCGTATGACTGATGACCTTGCATAATGTAGGATGACGTTTTTGGGCGGTACGAGGGCATGCATGTAAGCTATTCCTAGATCTTGCATTACTGCTGAGATTGATCGTCTCAACCTCTTTTAGTGGCTTCAAGTTCTCCGAGATTGAAATGAGTGAGGAATTTGAAAGTTCACTGCAAGATACTGCCATTGACAAATTTCATAGAGTTGGTCCTATCGGTGCTCCTGGAGAAATTCAAATTTGAACCTGGTCCTGAGATATACTGGGCAATGGGTGCTCTCTACCATCCTATTGTCCAGGGTGATGGTGAGCATAGATCTGCGGCTCCTTTGCGAGTCTCGCTTGTTCGTGACTAAGATCACGGATGGGCTTTTATCCGGGACATAGTCTATGCATCAGCTGCTTTCGTAATTGTAGAAACAAGCCTTCGATCTTCTGCTGCCTTTCTTCGAAAAGGTCCTTATGTACATCTTCTTGCTTTATTCCCTGTTTCCTTAGATGTGTTTATCTCCTGTATATGCTTATTTAAATTTACCTATTTAAGTTTAATTTTGAGGGACCACTACATGTGATATCACATAATGCTATGTATCACCATTGTGACACTGACCTTTCAATTCTATAACACAAACACTACGCAATAGCACAGGTTGGTTTTCAAGGTCTGTGTCTTGAAATTGCTCATCAAACAAGATTCCTACTTTTACTTTATTGAGAGAAAAAAGAATTTTTCTTGTGTAACGTTCGCCTCATTTTGTTTCCATGATTCTATGCATGTCGTTATACAGACTTGCACACGAAATCGAGGCAGAGGACACTGAATAACTTGTGTTTCACTGGATAGGCCGAGTATAAAACGGTACCACTGGTTACTTGTCCGCTTCTTTTCTTTCACTGTCACCAAAGGTCACTGTATAAGCCCCAGGCTCGAGTCTAGTCTAGTCTGATCTTCCATCATATGAATAGCCATATGCTAACTTGGCATTTTAGCTTTGGATATTTAAATCATTCTCTATACTGTAGTGACAGTACCCAAGTCTCTCCCGGCTCTCCCGGGTCAATCATTAATCCTAGAACTGGTTGAGATTTTGATAGTGTGAACCAGTGCAGGGCTCTCTCTGAATCAAGCCAAAAGCTGAAGGTAGGGGGAGGGGGGCTTGGCTATGCTGCTACTGGACGGCGAGACCAACCGATATTCAGTACACACTGTCAATTCATCCTAGGACTTAACTCGAATATGCCTCTTGATGGGGTCTCGTTTGACTCTAAAATGCGAACATTCTGCCTAAAAGTATACACTTCAAACACTCAAAGATTATTGTATGTACAGTGTCAGCTCTATTAAGAATCTAACAGCAACGCGATAGCGGAATAAGGGGTTAATACAAGTCATTCGGCTGGTTTAAAGCATTCCTGCCAGCAAAGACCATATGCAACATTCTTAAAATCCAACTTTGTGGAGAATTCGCAACTGAAAACAACTGTGTTCTGTGGCCGCCATAGAGTCGGGCGAATGTCGGGAGGAAGCCACAAAAGCAGTTCGCCTTGTAGTCCTAATATCCATCCGTTGTCAGATAGGGTCCAATTTGCAAGGCTTTCGTTAGCATCTTGTTCGGCTCTACATGAGGCGACGACACTGTCTGGCGGTTTTCCAGTCGTTAAGGACACATCTTCTTCGTCTGCTACACCCCAAATACGTGCCGTTGCGTCAAAGGAGCAGGAAACAATACGCGAACTATCTGGTGAAAAGGCAACGCAAGTAACCGGACTAGTGTGTCCTTCAAACAGTTCAGAAACAATATATCCATTGTTTGCATCCCGAACAATAACTGTCCGATCATATAACCCGGAAACGAGATATGCCCCGTTGGGCGAGAATGCAACAGACATGACTGTATCTTTGTGCTCTGTCAACGGCCCAGAGATCACATGGCCACTCTGCACGTCGCGGATAATGATATCGTTATCTGAACTGCGCGATGCAATGCACCCCCCATCAGGAGAGAAGGCAAGTGGAGCAAAATAGGAAAATGTACTGTCTACGGGTGCCTTCAGAGGTCCAGAAACAGGTTTCCCGCCCTCGGCATTCCAGATGACGACGTCGTTGTCTACAGACGCTGATGCAATAAGAGTGCCGTTCGGTGAGAAGGCAACGCTACGGATTGCAGCCTTGTGCACTTGTTCTGAACGAGAAATCATGTTTCCGTCTTTGGCACTCCAGATAATGATGGTTTTATCGTAAGAACCGGATACGACTAGAGTCCCGTCAGGAGAGAAGTCAACCGAATAGACAGTGTCTGAATGCCCTTTGAGCGGCTTGAATGTCATCTCACCGCTTTTTACCTCCCAGATAATAACACTCTCATCCATAGAACCAGAGACAATTCGTTTCCCATCAGGCGAAAAGGCAACAGAGTAAACAAAGTGTTCGTGTCCCTCGAATGGTGCAGAAGCTACCTCTCCTGTGCTAGCACTCCAGAGTCTCAGTGTCTTGTCATTAGAGCCTGACGCTATCAGACCACCATCCGGGGAGAAAGCAACAGACATGACCGCGTCTGTGTGCATGACAGAAATGTCTGGAACAACGCTTCTCACAGAGACGTCCCATAGTCTGACAGTTTTGTCGTCTGATCCTGAGATGATACGTGACCCATCGGGGGAGAAGGCAACTGATCGAATAGCATTAGCATGACCAGTATATGGACCTGAACTGATTTTGCCTCTTTCCACGTCCCAGACAACGATTGTGCAGTCACTGGAGACCGACACTACACGCGTTCCGTCAGACGAAAACGCAACAGAAGTAACACTGTTTGAGTGCACAAAGGGACTGCTGATAACTTGACCACTATCAACGTCCCAGACTCGCAGTGTCCGATCACGTGAACCAGAGACAACTTGCCTACCATCTGGCGAGCCTGCCACAGACCAGATTGTGTGAGCATGTCCTATAAAAGGTTCGCCGACGGCCTGTCCCGTCCCTACGTCCCAGATTCGAATTGTCTTGTCGTCAGAGCACGAAACGATCCGATTCTCGTTGGGCAAGAAAGCGACAGAACGAACAATATCAGTATGTCCCTCGAGAATATGCACAGCGGACCTGTTCTCAATGTCCCACACTCTTACGGTTGTGTCTGCTGAGCCCGAGGCAATGTGCGTTCCAGTAAGTGAAAATGCGACAGCACACACCCCACTTGTATGTCCTTCAAGTGGCTCGGAGACCGCCTGCCATGACTCATAGCCCCAAATCCTGACTGTTGAATCCCATAAACCAGCAGCAATGCGTTGGCCGTCCGGCGAGAATGTTACAGAAGTGACGGCGACTCGTTTCTCTTCGAAAAGTACGTGTACCATCTCACCGCTCTCAACATCCCACATTCTAGCTGTTCCGTCATCAGAGCCTGACACGACATGCTTCCCGTCAGGAGAGAATGCGACGGATCGAATGACATCTGCATGTCCCTCCAACACTTTCAGCCACAATGGCGGCCGTTTCGTTCCTAATCGATCTACCTCTACCATCCGAGATGTTCGTTTTGAGTAGTGAGCTGCAACTTCTGAATCGTCCTTCATGAGCGGGAGCATGGAGATGTAGATATGTGGGATACTTTCGGTAATTGGTATGCTAAATGCAGAGGCGAGCTTGCTAGCGTCCGTCAGAAATGAGAAAATGCTCGAATCGTGTGTCTTAACAAGATTTAGTATGTGTCATGCATGAAACATGTTATATCTACCTCGGACCACGCAGCAACATCCAGAAGTCCTCGACTTGCAATTCGACTGACTTGACCTAGCAGGCTAAGCACCTCGAACCAATACAGCAGGTGTTTATGTGCAAATGCAATTAGTGCACCCAACAGTTCACGTGAGTATGGAGCTTCAGTAAGGTGATCTGCCCAGTACTTGCACGCATATTGCAGATGCAGAGGTACCTTCTTGTTGATTCGTTCCTCGATCTCCACGACATTGCTGTTATATATGAAAGACGATTCGAGATTGCACATGTTAAAATGAAGTTCCTCTTTCATGACAATAAAGCATCGCGTGGCGATGAGCGATTGCTGAGAGTCATTGTTTATGAACCATGGGTCGGATAGACGTTCGGAAGGGTCCTTATACTTGCTGCACAGTTGGGAGCAGTTCGTGGATAAAAGATAGTCTGCAAACGACGTGTGGAGTACATGAACAGGTCCGCCTCGTCTGAATACCAGTACACTGCCGAGCTTCGAGAGGATTTCGTACGACGGCTCCTCAGGTGGTAAACCGAGAATTGCGTCGATCGTTATATCTGAGAGTGGGACTCGGCTGAGAAGAACAAGACCCAGGACTTGTTGGAAGCGAACTATAGAAGATGGGTCGTCCATTGTAATAACCCCGGAATTTCTCAACATCGATTCGTATAGCTGGTTGAGACCCTTCAGGACAGGCGATGCATTGACGAGCTCGTTCAATTTTCGGAATTTACTCGGACTCTCTGAGACGACCTTGATGACGGTCGACGCCCAAATAAACAACCCTTCTGAAGCATCTGCGAGTCTTTCCATTTGTTTGGTCCATGACCAATTATTTGGAATGATGATCTGCGACTCGTTGATAATTCTCGACATCTCGTAATCAATGTATCGAAGGACGTCACGCCTGCTGTCCGCTGATCCGGAGTCCAAGGCAACCTCATATACTGAACTTGGCCGGTTTGACAATGCTATGTTGATATCAGCCTCAGGTCTGCTCGTAATGAGGAACCGGAAATTAGAAGGCAGTTTCCCAAATTCTCGCTTCAGAAGCGACATCAATGTCCGCCGAGCATCAGGCGTGCCACACTCATCCAGTGCATCGATGACGATAACGATCGGGCCATCTACATCATCTCTTGACGCGGTTAGTGGCTCTAAAAGAAGTTTATTGTACTGTACTTCTGCAATTGCTTCAATGGCGTGGTTGTTCGCTTGAATCGCCGCATCAACGTGCCTTGCAATAGCTGAGTCAAATAAGGCGAGACGAAAAGCAATTGTTCGGAAGATGGAAATGAGCTGACCCTCAGCACCGTCGACTCGGTTGAAAAATAGGAATGCGCCAAGACGCGACATCTCACGACAGTACTCTGCGATCGTTGTCGCGATAGTGCTCTTTCCAGATCCTGCAACGCCATGCAGCCACAAAATATTTTGTTCCCCGCTCGATAGAAGCCAATCCATAATCTCGTTCAAGACCTCCATCCTCGTATCTTCAAGGCATCGTCCACGCTTGAATGCATTCATGTCGATTGGACAGAGCAGCTCCTTGAAATCTGATCGAAGGGTTATTCATCTCAAGATCTTGTATGATAATATCAAGCTCACATATATCATCGACTTTGTCTGAGATCCGCGCAGAAACAAATGCAGTCTGCAGAGCAATGTCGGAGTCAAGTGACCTCGTAAGGTCAGCGAAACGTCGAGTGAATTCATCGACCTTTGATCGGCTCATTTGAAGCATTCGCCCTAGTATTGAGAATCAGTTTCCTGTTGGATCTGCATGAGAGGATTACTGTCGTTTTCATAAATATTGTCACACACGCAATTCGTGATTTTCGTCACACTAAGTACACTCAAATACAAAATCTATCATAACTCAACTGATACTTAACCAAATTACATGATCTAAGTTGTAAAAAATATACTTTTGAAGCGTCTTTCATATTCCAGAAAACATAAAGTAAAATGAGCAAAATTTGAGTAAGATACAACACAATATGTGAGTTTTCCCTATATTTCATGTATATGAGTTTTCCTAGCCCTCAAACTGATTGTACAATACTATAAACTAGTCTAAATGAAGAATATAACTTTATTGTTAATTTACATATTGAATTCTAACTAGGATACAGAATACACATATAAGTATAATACATATTTAAGTTTGTTAAAATTGAGCATTTTCCCCCAACCTCTCTACACTCAGGGAAGGTTCTTCTGAGTATTATTCATGTTTGTAAATTTATTATAAACAAAATATATTAAATATAAGTACTTTTATAAGTTATAGTAAC